GAAGGTGGACGGGCAGTGGACGGGCAGCGGCGGGAGGCGGGGAGGTGCTGAGCCTCCCTCCGAGCCAGGCCCCGGGCTATCCCGCATCCAACCATGGCACAGACGGTCAGGTACAAAGAAACACCGCACTCAGACTGAAGAGGAGCGGTCGGTAACGGCAGAGAGCGCGTCACGGTGTGCCACGCTGCTTATTCAAACTGTGCATAATGAGAAGGCGCGTAATTTAATTAGCGAGCGTCACGGCACTTGCAGCTGTGCCTTCCGTGAGGTGCAGGCAGGGCCGGCGGCGATGGACGCGGAGGTGTGTTTCATACCTGCCAAACAAGTGGTCCGCCGACTGAGAACGCCGAACGATGTAATGCGAGTCTGAGAGAACAGTTTGCTGTGGGTCTGAGACTGGTCTGTTGTGGGTCTGAGAAGGGTCTGCCCGCTGCCATGGGTCTGAAAACGGTTTGCTGTGGGTCTGAGATTGATCGTCATGGGTTTGAGGGAAGTCTGCCGTGGGCATGAACTTAAAGCAGGTCTGTTATGAGCCTCTGCTATCAGTTTGTTGTTAGTCTGAGAACGGTCTGCTGTGGGTTTGGGTGGTCTGCTGTGGGTCTAAGAAATGACGAATGTCGTTTGTTGATGGCATGAAGCCAAAATAGTGATAGCCTTTTTCCTTTAGCGCGCAGAGTTAAAGAGAAATCCAGGTTGAGCAGGTACTTACCTATTTATGTAGGAATACGTGTTTCTTCCATTCCCCAGCTTCAAAAATGCCCTCGCGTGTCTGCGACTTACACCAAAAATAATGAATACCTAAGCAAGCTGCAATCTTAATGATAAATTAGGCGATGCGATCTTCCACCTGCACAAAATTCAACGTCATCCACTTCAGAGAACATATTACGAAGGCTAGTGGCATTTTAAGAATAAGGTCTGTGGTCCCTTTTTATAAAGCAAACATGCTTTCCTCGACTTCAAGTGCATCAGAGAATGGCTTTCTTTGATTAAGAACGAGGGATAACAATAAGAGGAGCGTGCAGAGTCGGACAGGTAACATGCAGTTTGTCACGCTACCTGTTTGTGTGGCAGTTAACCCGTGTAAAAATCCGTCAACAATTAATCGCGTGCTACCCCAGGTCGGATAATTAGGCTTGGCTTTGATCACCCAGCGGGACAAGTTTCAATGTCGAACACCGCACTGCGAGCGAGCGGCCAGTCGAAGAATTCAGTTTTAGACCCGTGTCTGGCACTTCGAGGTAAATTGGTTGCGCCGGTTAATGGGAAACCGAGCCGTTTGGGAATGTTGTTTGGTTGGCACGTCGGCCCTCTGCGGGTCCTTGCCGTCCGACACCGCCGTATGCATAGTTATGTGGGTGGTTAAGTAAAACCTGCCATCATTAAATATCCGTGGCCGGCCCCTCTGTAATCAATCCATTGCTGTTCTGACAGACCTGGCAATTAGGGGCGGCCACCCCGAAGGCCACACGGCACGGCGCTGACCGTGTCCCGGGAGGGCGGCACAAAAACGGGCCGCACTCCCAAATTGGACACCCCTGTTCGGCGGCGGCGTCACCGACCGGCCGGCGCGGAGCCCTCCTCCCCGGTATCGGCCCGCGGCCCGGCCCTCCGCTCCACAGCTGACCTCACCCGAACCTGCCGCCGCGGTGACATGGGCGTCAGTACATACCATCTCGAGCGTCACTCCCGATCGTGTTAACGAGCCGTCATTGAAATGTGTCACTGTGCGCATCTGAGTGCGGCTGTCACACCCGTTCGGCCCACCGCTCTGTCTCCGTTAGACCGGCTCCAAATAGGGCGCCGTGCGATCTCGCCACAGACCACAGGACGCAGGGAACAGCGTCAGATCTCTGTCCGGGGGCTGCCGATGGACGGACCGGCCGGCGCCGTGGACGGTACACCCCGACACCCTCGTTTGAATATTGATCCCGTCTATGCAAATCGGTGACCGTGCTGGAAAATGCGTGAATAATGTATAGATTTGGTGCACGACAAGCGGAGAGGCACGAGCCCGGGTCTCCGTTATCCGGGTCAGATCAAGGCGCGACCATAACTCCTCGAGAGTGCACACTACCGCCACCGTGCCGGAGACACGAGGCGGTACGATATCAGTGTCCCATGTGGCGTGCTCAATTGTAATTTGAAATTAGCCTTTCCAGAATTTCGAGCTGTCAGAGGTGTTAGAACTTCTTTCATATGACCAAAGGAGCAGAGACGGGTATAGCCGGTATAGCCACAAAAGATACACCGAAAACTGCCGAATAGTGTCGCACCTGGTACCTAATTGGATGAATAATGTGAAACATTTCATGCAGGGTTGAGTAGGTATTCACTATTGGATTTATTGGTTTTAGTTTGAGCTCGGTAAAAAAATAAAACATTTTACAAGGAGTGAGATACGTTGTCGTATAAAGTTCGACATCCAATTATGCCAAAAAATATATATTTACAAGTACATAGTTAGTAGGCAGGCATTAACAATGCATCAAGTTCCTATGAAAACCATTGACAAATTGTCTTCTTCAAAGACTTGAGGAAATTGCATTTAGCAACCGGATAGCGCTTACAGTTCATCGAGCTTATCCATATAAACATATAAACACCTTTTCATATATCGATCGATTACAAAATGTATCCACTTCAAATGAACCGCGATGTCAAGCATTACGTAATAGAGATGCCACTTTTGAACCCGCGAACCCGCTTTCTGCGGGTTTTCAAAACCCGCAGGGTTTTTGGCGGGTTCGAGAAGCAAAACTTGTCGTGTGGCGGGTATTTGACGGTCAGACTTAAGAACCTATAAATTTATTTTTTTAGATGCAAAACACAATGTCAAGCGCATTTGCTCAGGTTAACAATACAATATTCATCAAAACAACTTTTAACCTGAATAACAACAGGTTATTCATCCTTCTAATAAAACAACTTTTAAAACAGAACCAAATATAAAAATATATCAAGGTAGCACATTTCAAATGCAAAACTGAAAACAACCAGCAATAGCATCCACAGTCTAGCAATGACCAAACCAGGGTACAAGCAACAAACTACAAAGCGTAAGTAAATGCTGATGAAAGCATTCCATAAAACATAAATGAACCCGAAAGCAAACTTATAGGAAGCTGAACTGAAGTCTATGTGCAGTGTGCACTAGATATACATTATGGAAGAACCCAGACTTAAATGAGATGTTGAAAATCAGAGCAAATGCCACATGTTACTTTATTTGCGTCTGGTCGGCATAAAAAGAGCTATCAGCTAAACAAAATTTGATGCAATGCAAATTCATTAATTGCCTATCCTACTCTATGTTCTGTCCCACCCTATATTACGAAAATAACACCAATTACCCTTACAAAAAATCAAAATATTGACTGGCATGCGGCCCAAACATAACGCAATACAAAACAGGCGCACTTCCGACATTCTGACAAGGATTGGCATTTGACTGCGTCAATTTTGATCTCTGAGGCGAAGGAAAGCTGACATTAATGACGCAATAATAATTTTACAATCAATTTTTTTCTGTTTTGGTTTTTGAATACCTCAAAATAGCAGTTATACATGTTACAAAACCACGTAGCTGGTCGCATTTATTTCTTTTGTCTTTTTACTTGTCATTTGTATGCCGAGAGATGACCAGCCGGAGAGCATTACCAAGACCATCTTTAAAATTATTACATTTTATTTAGTATTTACTGTCTCTTTATTTTTTAACAGGTGATTAACTCTGAATTGTAAAACTTTAGCTGTTGTGTAAAATAACTTTATCAGAATGGCACATGAATATGTATTATGCAACGGTGTTTTCGCAACAACTTCGCACTAACTACGGCTGCAATAATTTAGTCGCTGTAACATTCCTTGCAATCAGCTGTTGGTGACGCTTCTGACGCATGTTTCAAGAAACGCGTGGTTCATTGGTGGTTAGTTGGTTTTTGCTGGGATTTTGCATGATTTGTTTTATGTGTAGATCGACTGGATACTCATTATTCAACGTGTCACTATTTACTTTTTAACTGGAAATCGCATATCTTCTTATATCAACATTCATTTTGATAACAATATCATTCTAGAAGCCTAATATTGAGAGGGAGCTAGAGTGAAATTTTGATCCTCAGCCAATGCTGAAGGGTAAGGTGAGAGAAAGATTTTACTGAACTCTTTTCAGAAAGGAATTTCAAATGTATTGATGCATTATTCATTTTCCACTATCCAGTGTGCACTTCCTGAGGACTTAGCATAGAAATTTCAAGTCCTTACTATTTGTTTGGCTGCCTTTTTCTGCACAGCAATGAAGCAAGTAAGGTTTATTTAGCTCTAGCATTGACCCAGCTGTATTTTTTTCTTGCAAAAGCAGGTTTTTAAAATTGTGTTTTTTTTGCGGGTTCGGCTCAGCCAAAATCAGCTTGCGGGTAGTTGTGGTTGGGCAAGGGGTAGCTGCGGGGCGGGGCGGGTAATGAAATTGCAAATTTGTGGCATCTCTATTACGTAAGTACCAAAGCAACAGCATATGAAATATGCAATGATTTATTAAGACACAAAAGTTATGCACCTTTCCCATTTCCTTTTGTATTATCTTTTGTTCAAGCTGCATGGAGCTTTTAATGTGTCATCGTAAATACAGTTAACTTACAAAAAGTACGGATTGGCATGCACATTGTACCTACCTACCCGTAGTACCACCTACCCACTGAATAACTGTTCCATGAACTATCGAAAACCACAGTGACATGTTTTTATATTCACCCCAATTCCAATGCAGTAACACCTGCTATCTCATTCCCTTAACCGAATTGTCCGAGTTATTCCAAACAGGAAGCTAGGCGCACAGTCTCTGCACTTATCCCCCATTTGGCCGTCATATTTCAATCGGTCCTGCCTGCCGAGCCGCCGCGGCGGCCGTGTCATTACGGTCGCGTTTACCGTGGTGCGGCCGCGGCGCATGGCCCGTGCGAGCGGCGGCAGGCGGCGCTGAGCCGGCCGGCGGCCGGCAGTGCTGCGCCGACCGTCGTGAGGGGTGGTTGTGCCGCGTCCGCGTCCGGAGCGAGCGAGCGCTGGGGAGACTGGGCAGTGCGAGTGACCGGAGTGGTGCGGCTGCTGGACACAGGGTGCGCGGAGTGAGGAGTTAATACATCGGACACACTGCTGAGCGAGCGAGACCCGAGACGCCGAGCGTGGGAGGTTCCACAGGTGAGTGGTGTTTCGAGATGGGCCTCCGATGTGCCATTACCGTCACACCAACGCCGCGTAAATATTCAGTTATGTGACAGCCGACATGGAAACAATTTCGGATAGAAATAAAGCCCAGGCTCGTTTACATTTTTGTATGGTCAATATCGCGCATTTTCGGGGTTGTATAACAATTTTATAAATTCAGAGTACGTATTCGCCATCTGATTTCTCGGACGTTGTTCGCTGATATGCCGATGTAGCATCCGTGTAGCTTATCATACAACATCAACGTCAGCACGTCAGTCGGACTTCTGGATCGATCCATACGTAAACCTTCACAGGGCGTACACCAGGTGAATACTGATGTGAACAATTCATTCATCATCTGATACCGCGTTCACGGTGCCTCTCATTAGTCATGTTACCGTCACTCGCCCATGGCTATTGTACTAGCACATTGACTCACCTGATCAAACATTGATACCCTGATATCAACACACAGCGCAGATTGTGTACGTGCTTTTATCGCAGTGCATGTTTAAAGCTTGATGAAACACCCATGAAATGTAATCTCTAGTCGGTAGTTGACCTTCAACCGAATCAGGTAACTCTGTTGGAATTTCCATGTAATCTATCTCCACCTCACCGGCCAAATCGCTTCTCGACATTTTCCTCGAGACTAGCGAACCCAATAATCGGCCTGACACGAGCCAGGGACGTGGGGCGCATGATGACCCGGGCCGCGAGGACCGCGACGCTTCATTGGACCGCCGTCTTCTCCGTCCGCTTCGGCAGCCGCTCCAGCGCGATGTGTTCGTTGCTCCCGGAGATGGGTGAACCGTAAAACCCTCGCGAGCACTGCCGCCCTGGGCCAGTTCCGGGAATTCTACAAACACTTGCACCGCAGGCCACCGGCCGGCTCCTCAGCGACCCTGCTACGTTATTTTCATGTGCGGCTATATTGGGGAGTATATTTAATTAGCGGCCCTTCCCGGGCGGTCCGACAGTCCCGGTGCGCCGCGCCGCGCTGGTGGGCGGCTGCGTTCAGCCGGGGTCACGGCTGGACGCGACCGGCGCTCCAATCTCAGCCGAGCGTGAGTTCAAGTCGTTATACGCCCAGCCTTTCGCGTGTCAGGAGGCCGTTTACGGCCGAGACTGTTTCAGCCCCGGCCGGCGCATATTAATTAGGTTAGATTCCTATTGGATCGCCAAGAACGGTCTTCTTCCGCTGAGCCTCCTTTTAGACGGCAAGTCAAAACACCGGCCGCCTCATTACTGCCACTAACGGACCGGCTCCCTGCAGCGACGGGCGGTCAGCGTGGCCGAGGTCCGACGCTTACTCTAGCTGTGGAGGAGCAGTCAGTCTAGCTGGGGATTTGCGCCCAGTCTGGCTAGGGACGGGCCGTCGTCAGGCTGGGGACGGGTCGCCGGGTCACCGGACCCTCTCTCAGGAAGGACCATCACTCATCGGACCCATTCGCACGTCCGAGCCGCGTCCGCACGCACTGTCAGGTGTCGCCATTCTTCCCTCAGTGACCGCGGTCGCCGTGTGGGCGAACCATGTCCAGAAGATGATGTGTTTTTGAGGGATCGCTAGTGCTTCTCACCACACCCGCGAGAGGTCATCCCATTAGATTAGATGATGGTGCACTTTCTTGAAAGGAAGCGCAGCAAGCCTGATTCAGATTAATGACCCGTTGCCCGACAAGGCCACAGTTAAGCCACAGTGCCATGACAGGCAGGCGACCCATACGCCGGCTGTAATTGTTATTTGACCTGCTTACCCGGCCAATGCACCGCCCGGAAGTGCCGCCCGGATAGAAAGCTGCAGCTGGTCCCAGAGTGCCTTATAACAGTAAACTCAGGCGGTCGCATGTTGGGCGCACCTGTTTCACCACAACAGCTATCAATCACGGTCAACATATCAATCTGCAATTCATTTAGTATTTACACGTGTAATTATACTTCTTTTCTTGCCAGATACCGTACCCTGACGACAGATCGCCGTCAAGCACACCAGGTTTTCACAGAGTATTCGGTATGAGTCAGCTGGCTGGCGTGGGTAAGTGCATTCCGTGAGCGTCACCTTGCACCTGTGCTGGCGCGGTTTGTGGCTGCGCTGCCGCGGCCGCCAAGGTTGAACTCACCGCTCCGCGCCCCGACAGTCCCAGGACTGGGTCACCAGCCACCATTCACTGGGTCTGGGAGCGCTGGGTCACCAGTTTCACCACTCAGTGGGTCAGGCTACTGTCACCAAACGCATTGTTGCGCTGTTCGGTGATGTTTGGGCTACTGTCACCAGTCGCATCGGCATGCTTGGTCCGCGTTTGTGCAGGTGTAGGCCGGCACTGGTGAAGGGCGAGGCAGCCATTCCATAGGAATTTTTAATCGACGCTGATTTATGTGCCGTCGACTATGAAAGAATCGTTTTAGGTCGTCCAGTGGCGCTAGCAGACTTCAGAACCTGCCAGCTGCTAGACGCGGACCTTGAGTGGGCCGAGTGAAAAGCGACTCATGTTTGTCCTCATCAGACATCTGGTCGCCACACAATGCAGGAAAGCAACAATACCAAACATTACTTCTGTATTTGATCAGTCAGGTAGCTCAGCTTATTTGTGTTCCTCCTTCTGCCAACCGATGACCTATTTTTTCATATGTTCTAATCATTTCCAATAGCGATGGTCGATGTTTGGAGTCCTGACTCCACCACCACATACAACGGTAGTCATGAAGACACAGCCAGCGTGCCAATCAATTCAGGGACCCGTCATTACCTGACTCCCTCGATCGACGCACCTTGTCTGAACTCCACACCAGCCCCAGGGACACCCAGACACAACCTGTGCCGTCCAGAGGACACCCAACGACGACACTCTCTCGTCCGGGGACACTCAACGACGGCATACGCCACCGCCTGAGCGACCCGGCCATCGGCTCAAGTAGCCGACCATTTGTGGGCCGTTCAGCAATCAGTCGGTGTCCTTGCTCCCGTGATTGCTGGGCGGGCTGCTGCGGCGGCTGCGGCGGCGGTGGGTGCAGTGTTGGTAGAGGAGTAGCGAGGTGAGGACGGAGACGTCGGCAGTGTTGTCGAGAGCAGCAGTGGCAGTGCCTCCACGGACGACCCGGTCGAGTGCGATGGCCGGCCACAAACGGCGTCTGGCCGCCGACCGGGGCCGTTGTCGGCCGCTATCGGCTCCCCCCGGACCCGTCGCTCTCCGTGGCCCCGGCCGACCGGCGGCCATTCCCGTCCATATGACCCGCTCGGCCTCGGACCGCCGACGGTCAGCGTGTGAATGTGTGGCTCCGGCCGCAGTCCCTGGACACTGGGTATTTACAGAGGAGTGCGGTTTCACCGCTGGTCAGCGGGGTGTATTCGACCGTGCCTCACCGAGGGGCAGCTACAGGGGAGAGGGACATATGGCGCAGCGGGGGGCGTCACCTCTCGGACACCCGTCCGCTGACCAGCTGCCTGTTGACAGATCCCCTCAGCTGGTCCAGCATGACAGACTGTCATCGTGGGTCAGCTGGTGGTCACATGATCAATCTAAAGCCCCGGGCCACATCAGGGGGACGGTTAATGGGGTTGGAGATGGCGCCTTCTCTGGACCACTAGGAGTGGCACCATCGCTTCCCACGCTTGCCTGTGCGGCCCGAGAGGGCGGACCAGGCTCGAGATCCCGTTGAAGGCGGCGAGATTAATGACGAATCTTGTTAGCGCGGTTTGCCGACAGTCATTACTCGCTGTAACACAGGGACCAAGGGTCGACTCAGGTAGGCCGCGGCGGCGTCCTGAAATTAATCATCCACTGAACAGTGCGCCGAAATGGCCGCACACATGGCGGCCGGGCCGCGCTTCGTGTGAGGCGTTGTCTGGATGAAAACAAAGGTAATTAAAATAGCTCTCGCATGAGCACGGCTTTATCATGCAAACTAAGTAGAATAGGCTCACCTGGTGCAAAATACCGGTTACGGAGGTTTCCAACAAGGATTCGCCACCATTGCATGCAAATTACAGCGGCCTTCCATCGCATTGTGACGGATTAGGGGTGAATCGGCAGAATCCCGGCTGACGACGCATGCAATTCCCGAAGCCTCAATCTCTCATCAATGATGCGGCAAAGCGGGTCGACGCGCACGCTATCCACGAAAGGAGCCGGTCGCCGCTCTCCGCCGGCCGGCGGCGCACCACCCACGGCACCGGAACTGTACCAGGCGGCGCCGCGCGGCCCTGGACAACCGGGGACGGGTCGGGACGGGACCAGAATGGGCCGTCGGCGCCCTCAAAGGCTGCGCCTGTCGACGCCGTCGCGTCGTGGCCGATGTATCGCTGCCGGTGTTATTCTGCGCTGAGTGGGCCTGCCGAGATAGGCCGGCAGGGCCGACGGCCGATAACACAATCTGGCGCCGGACCGAGCCGGCCGGCCGCCGCCGTCCCTGGACGGGGTACGACCGTCTGGACAGAGTACGGCTGTCTACTGGACGGGGTACGGCTGCACGGTGGGCGGTGCCTTCCAGACGGAGGGTACCGACAACTGGTATAGGTATACTCGTACACATCTTCGGACGGAGGTGAGTTCGGTCGAGGAAGATTCGTTTTGCATCCATCCGAATGAAATGGACATGGTCGGATTAGGTATATGCTCGTAAGTCGTACGTCTGCCTTCGGCCGGGTGGTTTCGTGCGCATTCCACACGATGGTTATGATGAGACACCTCCGCTGGCATTACATGACACAAAGCACTGCTTGATTGCATTGCAATCCAATGATAATCCAGCGTCCAACAGTTACCTGACCACCTGTAAGCCACAGACAACACGACCGTCAGAAAACACGACCGTTGACATTGCGGACGACAAACTGCCCGCTGTGGATCGGTTCATCGTTGACAGTTTGGCCGATCCAGGGGCGATACGGCGGGCGGAGCATGTCATGTGCACGCGAGCATCGCTCACGGCAGGGATAATGCGATTAACGCTACCCGACTCCGGAGATAGCGCGATTAGCGCTGCTACCTGCT